CTATCATCAATCATTTGAACAGGAATCCCGCCCAGATATACATCTTGTCGCTACTACAAAATTCTGAGGTGCATAGGAGTCACAAGATCACCTTCCACAAGGATGAACTACTATCTGAAGGATTGAGTCACAATAGGGCATTGCATATAACAGTATAATTTGTAAACAAATTCATCACTAGGGTCATAATAGATGGGGGTTATGGTTCCGTTAGCTTTGTTGGGTGATTTCGGGCTTAGGGGCGTGATTGGATTATGTTTTAGAGGTCTGTAGCTAATTTAGGCTTGAAATGGAGAGAGTTGCATTTTTGAAGTTTCTGGTCCGATAGTGAGATTTTGATCTAAGGGACGGAATGGAATATCGAGAATTGGAGTAGTTCCATAGTGTTGAATGTGACGTGCTTGCAAAATTTCAGGTCATTCAGACGAGATTTGATAGACTTTTTGATCTGAAGCATAAGTTAAGAGTTCTTTGAGTTCTTAGGCTTGAATCCTATGTTAAATTGGTGATTTGATGTTATTGTGAGCATTTCTAAATTTTGAACAAATTTGAACGATGTCATGGGATGTGTTGGTATAATTGGTTTGAAGTCTCGGGGACTCGGGTGAGTTCCGGGTAGGTTCCGGGATGTTTTAGGCCGAAAATTATAGTTGTTGCAGGTCCAAAAGAGTTGCAGGTCTCGGAACCCACCAGTGCGGTCCGCATAAAATCTAGTGCGTCCGCGGTGGGGGCTGTGCAGCCACACAAAATGCAGTGCGGTCCGCGCTGAGGAAAATTTCACTGGTCCAACTTCAGAAGCTCATATCTTTTGATCTACAAGAAATTTTGGGATGATTCAAAAATGAAAGTTGTAGACCTTCGTGTCTAGTTTCCAGAAAGATAAAGTGATCACAATTTGCAAATCTGTTGAGAAAGTTATGGTCAAAATACTAAAGCTTGTCACTGCAGTCAAAACCTGTGCGGACAACACTCGTTTTTGTGCGGTCCGCAGTGGTGGAAATCCGGGGGGTGCTCTATAAGTACGAGGTTTCTGGTTTTATTTCATATTTTGACCTAGAGAGCTCGGATTTTGGCGATTTTTCGAAGGTTTTTCAGGAAATTCATCAAGGTGAGTGATTTTAACTCAAATTGGCTAGAGTACAAGAATCCATCATTGAATTCATCATTTAATTCTTGATTTGAGATGGAATTTGGGAAGAAAATTTGTGATATCTTTCGAAAATGTAAAAAGATGATTTGAAGGACCAAATGTTATCGGAATTGGATAATTTTGGTATGGTTAGACTCGTGAGGGTATGAGGATTCTAAAAATGTAAATTTTACATGATTCCAGGATGTTGGCCCGAGGGGCATTTTGGTCATTTTATATAATTTTGGTATTAGCTTAGATTTAATTGTAGAATTAGTTACTTGAAGTGTTATTTACATTATGCAATTGAATTGAATAGATTTGGGCCATTTGGAATTGAGTACTCGTGGCAAAGACATGGTGTTGGGTTGATTTTGAGCCGGTTCGAGGTAAGTGGCTTGTCTAACCTTGTGTGTGGGACCTTCCCCTTAGGATTGATATATGTGGTAATTGAAATGCCATGTACGTGAGGTGACGAGTGCGTACTTATGCAATTTTTTGGATATCTGATTTTCTTTAAGTATTTATTAGTATGTTCCTTCTCCTACTTTTATTAATTGTACTATTAAGCCCGTTATTAGCTTAGGAAAACATGTATAAGTGATTTAATTGCTTTAATTATTCAATCTGTTTACCTAAACTCTGTGCAGCATGCTAGGCTAGAATTATTTGTTGCCTTAACATGAAATTTCCCTTCTCTACATATTTTCTTGCGGATGCTGTGTATTTTTATTGGGACTACGGATGTGGGATTCCGATAGCTCCCTTTTGTCTATTTACTATGGGACTGCATGTTAGATTCTCGATAGATCACCCTGCACATGGAACTCTGGGAATGCACCCAGTAGATTCCCCTAGTATTGGGTATTTACATTTGGGACTACGGATAGAAATTCTGGTCGATCCCCGCGCACTGATGCTTGGACTACGGGACGGGTTCCCGGGAGATCCTTCGGATATATATATGATGGACTACGGGATGGTATCCCGGGAGATCCACTGGACAGTTGTAATTGGGACTACAGGACGGTATCCTGGGAGATGCTCGATTGTTATCTTTGTGTTGAGCTGTATTTCCTTTCGTGGCTTGTTTTGTCTCTGTTCTAGTTGTTATTGTTCTGTTAATTCTATGTTATTTCTTACTGTTGCACTTATATATATTGTTTTATTCCACACTGTTAACCCTTATATTGTATTTAACCTCAGTAGGGCCCTGACCTTTCTCGTCACTACCCAACCGAGGTTAGGCTTGGCACTTACTGAGTACAGCTATGGTGTACTCATGCCTCTTCTGCGTATATTTTTCATGTGCAGATCCAGGTACTTCTACTCAGGTCTACCTTCCTTGAGGGAAGCGACTACTTAGAGACTTCGAGGTACATCTGCCGCGTCCGCAGACCAAGGAGTCCCTTTCTATTCTTGCCTTTTAGTATTTAGCCCTTCTGTACTTTCTGTTCTTATTAGACAAATTCCGGAGTTAGAGCTATGTAGTATTTCTTTTTCTTAGCTTATGATTCGTGGGTTTCCGGGTCTTAGATTTAGATCTTGGTTTTGAGATCTATATAAATATGGTGTATGCCGAGCGACACATTTAACACTGTTATTTGCCTTATTTCTGTTTTTAAATTGTTTTGCTTCCATAAGTTTTGGTTATCTTCTGCAAGTTTAGGCTTACCTAGCCGTAGAGACTAGGTGCCATCACGATGGTTCACGGAGGGCGAACCAGGGGCGTGACAAGTTGGTATTAGAGCTATAGGTTCATAGGAGTCATGGATTACAAGCTGGTTTATTAGAGTCTCACTGATCGGTATGGAGACGTCTGTACTTATCTACGAGAGGCTATGTAACTGTTAGGAAAATTCCACTTCATTTGATTTCCTTGTCGTGCAATATTTTGACATCACCATTCTAAATTTCTGTCTTCTATTCTCTCACAGATGGTGAGGACATGTATTACCAGAGATGATCAGACACCTGCATCCCCTGTGAGAGCCGTCAGAGGTCGGGGCGGGGGTAGACACTACAAGAATTTGGTCTTTTTGTGGCAACTAAAGTCGCCACAAATGGTGATAAAGTCTCCATTATATGTTTTTTGCAGCGACTTTGGGCTCGCTCCAAGTATTAGCATTACTGAATGTTTATTGTGACGAGTCTTGGGGGTCGCCACAAATAGCACACATTTTGTAGCGACTGAGGTCGCGTCAAAAACATGTTACATAAAATTGAATTTAGGTGGGCCGCTACTAAACAATGACATATAGTGGCAAGTATAGTCGCTACAAAAGACATCCAGTGGCGATATTCTCATTGCCACAGAAGGATTTTCTTTTTATGGCAACCAGGGTCGACATTGAAAACTCTTTTTTATAAAAAAGTTAAAAAATAATAATGCAATTGCGAACGTTATTCCTACTAATTTTCCAATAGCATTTTCATTATAATGAACACCACAGATACTCTTAAATAAAACTATATAGAAAGTTTCATTACCAAATATTTTGGAACAAATTATATAATGCTCCATAATACATTTGTCATTGCACATACACCTAGAAAAGAGAACGTCAAATATGTTTGAACTCCTACTTGTCGAATAACATTATCCTCTGGTATTTTAGAAAAAAATGCAAAGGACCACGTCTTCAAACTATTTCAATATCTTCAAGTTACTCCAATGTCTTCAACATGCTCCTTGAGCATCTTTATTTCCCCATTGTTGAAGTACTATATCCTTACTATTAAAAAAATAAATAATAACAGTAATATACACAAGTATACAAAAAAGGGTTAATCATAAGTCAAGTGCTAAAGGAAAGCATATAAAAAGGAAAGGTCAACTCAACCACACAGAACTATGGGAAGTGAATGTCTTTCAAGAAATTCAGGACATACACTGAATTTCCACTGTAAGCCTAGTGGAATGAGTAATATTAAGTTTTGAACATAAAATGGTATATGCAGCCAAAAGATCCAGAAACATATTCAGTTATACCTATTACAAGGAACATTGACCACATTTCCCTTCTAGTATTATCATTAATTGATGTACCTTCCAACAATTAATATATCCATCACCAGAATACAAAATAAATGATTCTTATCTCAAGCTGTTAACTCACACTATGCTATCTTGTCAGCTATGGAACCTCTATCTGGTAATCAATAACAGAGTAAGCGAGATATTTAAGCTAAATTTTACCGTGCGTTAAGAAACTTACTGAAACATATCTGGTGTTCAAAGAACGAAAATAATTTTATTAATAGATTTTGATAGTAAAAGAAAAAAATAGCATATACAGGTAACTTCCCAAGATGCTTTTCCGTGAATTTGGTTTGTTAAGTATTTCTCTGTAATAAGGATTTTGCGTAGAAAAGTAAAATCTACTATTATTTTCTCTTTGGTTTAAAACCTGAAATCATGACAAATAACATTAGTTGTAATATGATTAGTCTTTCTATTTAAATATGTAAGGCAAAAGGGTCATAGGCAAACAGGAGCTCAGAGTAGATAATAACGCATATGCAACTCATATTGCTTTGATATAGTCATTTCATTAGAAGGTATTTTATGAAACTCAACCATTTCAAAGCTTAGAAATTAGTTCTAGCATTTGATCCAAAAAGCAAACAAAAATCTGTTTACCACCCTGTTAGTGTTTTGAATAGGTGCTGCTCTACAGCAACAAGAATAGGCAATCCTCTTGGCCTAACAATTTTTCTATAACCATTCTGATAAAGGGTACAACCTTTGAGTACAAATACAAAGGTGAAACATATGTTAATTAATAAAAAACAGAAGGAAAAGATCTTGATAATGATCTAGAACTGTTATCACCTTGCATCTGCCCCTCCATTTCTTAACTGTGCAAAATAACACAGTTATACATTTTTAAAATGAGATTTAACTGCATATCACTCTCTTTCAAATCATTAACTTATGCCAAGATATTCAAATTAAGAAGTAACTTTATGTTAAAAATGTGTACTTTGTCAAGCATATGAAAAGTAAAACATTCATGGAAGAGGCAAGAAAAGTTAAAATGCATCTTCACCCAAATACAATAGACTAAGAGCTACTACAAAATTTAGTAAAGCACCCAACTAGAAGAACAGAAGCAAGGTTGAACATACGATAGCTTGAAATTTCAGCATTTCACTCACTTGGGAAGCTGATTTGCAGATGCGGTTTCGAGCTCTTTAGACTAGTAATTGGAAACACCATATGCACACCCAGTGGAAGGATCTGTTATAGGGCACAATGAACCAACAAAAGTAAAATCCTGTTATTTAGTTTATCTGATGAGTATATATTAGTTTGATAGGATTTTAAACTCCTAATTTGGTGCTAAAGTTCCTTGTGTTGTTATTTGAACATTTCAGTTGGTCAGGTGAAGATGACTCAGATCATGGCTCCATCTGCACAATGGCAGATGAGGACAAAGAGCTCAACAGATGCTACTCCACAGGCAGAGAGATCCCATATATATTGAAAGAGCGAAGAAGAAAAAGAATGTTGAAAAACTCACCAAAGAGAGTAGACGACACTTGAGAGCAGCGAAGTTGAAAGAGAATTATCCCTAAATGCACGAAATCGATTAGGAAAAGAAATAAAACTAAGAAATAACCAAAAAAAACAGAGAAAACAAGAATAGTATTAATAGAAAGAAACCAAGACAAAATTTACCTGTCTAGTAGAACTCAGAAAGGGAAGATCTTTAGGTGAGTCAGTACACAGTAGAGAGAGAAAAATCAACTGCAAATTAGAAGTGAAGCAGATACAAATGAATTGCAAAGTTTCCGTAGCTTGTATCTAAAGTTCATAATATTTTATTGACCATGAAATATTCCAGAAGAACTCAGAAACATGAAGGTGAAAGTCTAGACCCCCTCATAAAAATATTCTTTTAAGGGCAAGAGAACATTCACACTACTCCTTTTACCTACCTACACTAAACAGAGTTTAGATCTATTCTAATTCATGCTTTATTAAAGAAGTGAAATTCAATGTGACAAACGTGAAGCCATGCAATTCTGTGTGGTTCGGCAAATCTCTCATGATCTGAATTTAGTTTGACATCATATAGAGTAAATTACAACTTAAGACAAATTTCCACTTAGGAATTACCTAGAATGCGCTTAAGCAAATTTCCTGAATAATAGAGAAAAATAGCAACACATTTGATTCTGTTTTCCTCTTGTTTTGACCAGAACTAAGAGTTGGCTAAATTAGTCAAATAACATTTTGAGTAAGAAGTCGCTCACTCAACAACTTGACCAAGCAAGTTAACCACCAATGTCTCAAACCACAACTTCAAGTAAACAAAGATTTATATCAGAACCAGACCCCCATTCTTAAGATCCTGTGTGGACCTATTTCCTTTTGAGGAATTTGAGTTAATAACATGAATACCTTTTGTTGAAGCTAATCTATAAAATAACAGGTAATCTTACAAATGTAGAATGTTTTAGCTTGGAAATAATAAAGCAAACATGATTACCTTTTACTGCTTCAGTTATAATATATGAAATGTCATATTGACTATGTACACAACAATATGTAAAATTAAAAATTACAACTAATTAGGTACTAGCCTAAACAGAGGAATTCCCAAGTCACACACTTGGGTATAAAAAAAAGCAGAAATCGATGTCCCGATTTAACTCAACCAAATCTTCTTCTCTAATCAACTGAAAAACCATTCTGGAGGATTTCTTCAACAAAGTACTGAAATCTTGGAAAATTTTAAAAAATGACGACGAAATTCATATAGCTGAATCCAACTTATTGCTTGAGATTGAGATTGAAACACAGTAATAGTTGTCACGAAACAGTAAAAGTAAAGCTCTATTTTTTATGAAGAAGAATAAAAGCAAGCTCCATTTTTTATGAAGAAGAATAAAGCTCCATCTTAAAGATGTTTTGTCAACATTAATGAAAATGCATGACCTACATGCCTCCAAGAAAACACTTCAAATCATTAAAAAAGGTAGAAGAAACCCCTTTTAAGCTTTGACAATGGTACAGGAAAGCAAACCTCTTAGTTTCTTTGATTCTTCCTCCATGAAATTAACCCCCCCC